TTTCTCTTGATTGGAGTGCACGATAGCAGCCCGAAACGCTTTCTCCAGCCAATTTGTAGTTGATCTTATAAAACAGATCTCTCTTCTTGATCTGATTTCCTCCGTCCCTGTGCATTTGTTCCGCTTAAACCTTTCAGCACATTTGTTAACTTGAGTGACAATGAAAAAAATTGCCACTCCATTAACATGGAGTCATGCAATCCATGGGATGTGCATCAGTCATTTAATTGGGGTGGCTTGGTTCCCTCCCAGATGTTCTCTTTCAGCAGATACCATTGTGTTTTAAAACTTTGGATAATTATAGCTCTGTAAACCTAGAGTACAAGATTTGTTGGCTTCAGCCAGCTCTGCTCCTTATGTAATAGCTTCATTGTTTAGTAATCGCCCTATTCACGAAGCAAAGGGATCTGTGTCAGCCAAGACATCAATTCAAAGCACTTCCCGGTGCCGGATAAACAGTAGCAGAAGCAGTCTACCAAGAGAACCAAAACACTCTGGAAGAGTCTTGGCCACAAGTGTGACCAGGGCTGCTTTTCCCTCCCCATATTGAAGCATTTTTCAAACATTTCTTCACCTTTTCTTCAGTAACAAATCAGCCTCCAGGCAGCATTTCCCTGGCTGGTGAAATTGCTGCTAAATGCAAGAGGTGGGGCAGCACTGTGGGTGGTATGGGGAATGCTGTGCCACTGAGAGATGAGACTTAGGACTCAGGGTGAGATGCAGAGCGCTGGAGGTGGTCAGCACATGCTGTCCCCCAAGGAGAAGAGGAAGGAGAGGTACGTGTCCCTAATCTAGTTCCTGGAAAAGCCCACAATGACCTCTGGGAGCACTGAGGGGGAGTCAACAGGAAGGGCACAATGTAGGAAGAGGGAGGAAATTCTGAGATTTGTGGGGATCTGCACCAGGGAGTCTGTACCCTGAGTTTCCAGCCTGTGTGACCCCAGGGAATGTCACACCTTCTTCACACCTGCTCTCCTTCACAGTGCTGATGCCGGAGGACATGCCCTGGAAAGTGCCCGCTCCCAACCTGGCAGTTCTGAGATTTCCTGGGAAACCTACTTGGAGGGTAAAGGCCTCGAGCAGCATGTAACTGATTGCCTCTAACATTCATGCTGAACCTACAAGCCTACTGCGGCCCCATCACAGTATGGAAGGCCTGCAGTCAATCACCCTGATGCACACCTGTTCTTCCACCCCCTCAGTTGTCCCCTAGTCCTTGTCCTGTAGACCCCAGAGAGCAAGCCAGGATCCTAGGAGGGGGCAGAGGAGAACGACAGAAAAAGCAGAGGGAGATTTAAAAAATCATCATCAATAGTGATCTAGAACACTCATCCAAGGCTGATTCAATACAGACTTGGAAGGTATAGAAACGCTATAACCCATCCACCAGATTCCATGTGCTCCTGATTGATTAATAGATACATTTATATCACCTGTCTATCATCTATCTATCTATCTATCTATCTATCTATCTATCTATCTATCATCTATCTTCTACATGTATGTATATACACACATGTTTATATATTATACATTTTATATATGTATATCTGTATACATATATATGTGTGTATATATATACCAGGATGCCAAAAAAAGTACATATTTTAAGAGATGTTACCTTTGTATTACTTTTCGAAGTTGAATTGAATTACAGTAACAATGTGTAGTATGACGCTTGCTCAAAAGATGGCCTTAATCAAATGAATGCTAGCATCATTCATTGCATTACAATTTTAATATTGTTTTTTTTTCTTTTCTTAAAATGTGTATACATTCTTTTGGCACCCTCTGTATGTATAAAAGATATTACAGTTTTGGCATAAAGATTATTTTAAAGTGAAAATATTTGAAACCTTGTCTGAATTTCCCTTATCTGACTGAAGCAGAAACTTCTGAAAAATACAGCTGCCACCAACCCCCCCCTTCAAGAGGGTTTCCTATGAATTCCAGGAAAGAGGCAGACTGCCCACTCCCATTAGCATCAAGAAAAACCCAACAGAACCTTTCATACTTTCCCACTGAAGCCCTAAATGCCCCCTCACACACTTTTTACTGAGCTGGTATGGTACATAAACGCTTACCTCTGAGCATTCAGTGAGTTACTCATTACTGAGAACTGCCACAGTCACGTGTAAAAACCTTGTCTTTACTCCTGTTAATCTGTCTATTGTCAGTAAACTTGCAGTCCATGACCATTCAGATCTAATTCAGATCTAAGTGGGTAGAGGGAACGTTTTCTCCCAACAATTTACATGTACAAAAAAATATATATGTACAAATTTATAAATACAAATAAATAGTCTCTAAATAGTCTCTCTCTCTCTCTCTCTCTCTCTCTCTCTCTCTCTCTCTCTCTCTATATATATATATATATATATATATATATATATAGTCTGCTAACTGACAGTGCCTGCAGGCCCTCTCAGACCTAAAAATATTCTGGCTACCCATCCCACCCTTGGTCACCCCCACCCTGACACACCCAGGTGCACACACACACACACACACACACACACACACACACGCGCCACTAGAAGGAGGTCTCCTCCTATGGGTTCTGCTTCTGTTGGGCGGGTATCAGCTGTACCAGGCGTGGCCTGCTGGGCACTCAGATCTCCAGCCACAGCTGAGGCCGTTGGCCCTCAGGATATGGGAGCTACTGAGCCTTCTATTTTTGACAGGAATGGGGGTGGGGCGGGGGCCTCTATTCTCTGTGTGATTTTCTGCTGGATATTTTTTTAAAAAGCATTCAAGCTTATGCTCTGCTGTTTTATAGGGCTTTAATGGAACACTGTTTCTATTATTTTGTTTTCTTCCCTTTAAAATATGCCTTCTCCCCTGTATCTGATGTGGTAGAGCTGGGGAATCATGCCCCATTCAGAACCCCGCAACTCCCTTACGACCTGGTCTGTGTTTCCCCAGCACGTAGAATACTACCTGGCACCAGCCCCAGGCCCACAGTCCCATATCCATAATTCTAAAATCCAAAAGTCTCTGACAACATCTGAAAGATTTTTACAACCACTTTGGTGGCAAAACATGAACTGAAGCGATATCAGGCTCCACTTATCCCAGTTGGTGTGAATATTTACACTAACTTTTTCTTTAGTCCTATATTTGACCCATAAAGGACTGTGGAAATAGTCATGTGTTTGATTCACAGGGTATTGCCTCAAACCCCTCTGGGATGTTATATAATGTTTGGTTTATGCACCATATTGTCTTCCTAGACTCTGAAACCTAAGAAAGTAAGTAACTGAAAGGGGAAGTCCACACATCCCAGGGTTAGGCTTTTTTGCTTTTATTTATGGATAAGAAAGGTGATGCCCAACAAGCTTTCTGAGTAATTTATCTAAGATCATGCAGCTGATTAGAGACCCAACCAACACGCGAACCTAGGTCCTGAACTCCTAAACTGCAGCATCTTGTTTTCTTCCATGTTCCGAATTTATGACAGGCATTCCTTTGAAGAAAAAAATAATAAACTGGATCTTTGTTTTCAGAGCTTCTTAATTTCAGAAGCACTTGAGCCATTTTGAGCAACCAGGACCTAATGTTGCCAGCAAGTTTAGTAAAGATAAAGATAACCTTTGAGGCTGTTTTCTCCTTTCACTTTTTTTACACTAATGTGTATTTGCATACTGATGTGATCCCTATATTTCAGATGCTAATGTGCATAAGCCACTTAACACTTTTGGCCATGATTTTGTAAGCATGCTACAGGACTTGGAGCCAGAGCTCTCACAGTGGGGCTGCATCCTGTGCGTGTTGATATTTGTGTTGGTGGCAGGACGGAGAATCCACAGTGGCCAAGAGACATGGGGCTGAGAGGCAGGACCTCCTTGTCACCCCTACGTGACACGAGGGTGTCCAAAAAGGTGGGCTTCCAGGGATGATCAGTGCAGAGTGCGGTACAGGGGCGACAAGGAAGAGCACAGTTAGTTTGCTGGGGGTGCCTTAGCAGAGTACTACCAACAGAAATTCACTGTCTCACACTTCTGGAGATTACAAGTGTGAGGTCAAGGTCTCGGCAGGGCCACGCTCCCTCTGAAGGCAGCAGGGGAGAATCTGTTCCAGGCCTCTTTTCTAATCCTTGGATTGTGGCAGCATAGTTCCAATCTTCACGTGGTACCCGTGTGTGTGTGTGTGTGTGTGTGTGTGTGTGTGTGTGTATGTGTATTGTTGTTGTTGTTGGAGAGTGGGCTCTTCTCAGCGTGGTTCCCAGATTCTTGGTTTCTCAAGCAAAGAATTGAACAAGATACCAGGGCAAAGTAATGAAAATGCAGTTTATTAGAAGAGATAGTACATTTCAAAGAAGTAGAAGTAGGCCCGAGCAGCAGAGAATGGCTCAAGGGCCCATTATTAGAAGAGAAATTACATTCCAAAGAGTTTGGAGTGGCCACGTACAAAGGCGAGGCTCAAAAAAGGGAGGGAGGGATCAAAAAAGGAAGAAGCGGTCCAGAAGAGGGCAAAACAGTCAAACGGGTGGACTTCCCAGGACTTGGAGTTTTTATCCCTTTTTCTCTAGAATGGGATGTTCCCCTCTGGGCATGGGACCACTTGATTGGCACCTGTGATTGACAACAGGTACTGCGCAGGTGCTAGTGGCTGGTCTGATCTAGTTGGGTATTTTGTGCCCATTTGTTTTCCCGCAGGGGTAGGTAATAACAATACAAAGGGGAGTTTTGGGTGGAGAGGGGATGTCCCCTTGGCAGTCGCATTCTGTGGGATGTGCAGGAATGCAGAGACCCAATGCCTGCCTCTAACTGCCTGCCTTGTTTTCCGTTTGAGAGATGTGATCCCCATTAAATCTCTATGGGAAGCTGAGGGACAGGAGGTCTTTTCTTCTGTATCTGCTTCCTGCTGGGCAGGGGCATAGAGGTGTCCCTGCCTATTTGGGGGATTCATGGAACTCTCACCCTATCTGATCTCAGATGAGAGAAAGTGGTCTCGAGATCTGCCTGGAAGACCATGTTGGTTTTTTTGGTTGTGACTAGCAATCTTGCTGGGGTGTCATCTGTATTCCCAAGGCTCCTGAATGAGGAAAAATAGATTTTAATTAGTAAACCTGTTAGTTCTTATGAAGCCTGTGGCCATTCAGCCCATCACTCAGGTGGCGTCAATTGTCTAGGCCCAGAATGGGTTTGGAAAGAATCATTAGGCTTACTGGCCTGGGAGATATTAGGAAGTCACAGGCTTTCAAGTAGTTATCTGAAGCAAGGGTAGGAGATTTTATGATTCAGGCTAGGAGCAATCTTTAGACTAGGATTCACAAACTGGTTAGAAGAGTAATCAAAGCCAGGAGCTAAGAAACTAAGGAACTAGGGAGAAAACATTTCTATACTTAATATTTTTATACTTAACATTCTATTGGAAAGAAAACTTAAAAGTCTTTCAGTGGTGGTGTGTGTGTGTGTGTGGGGGGGCGCTACTCTGTAGTACACACATACAACATGTGTGTCCAAATTACCCCTTTTTATAAGGACATCAGTCATATTGGATTAGGGGCCACCCTATTCTAGTATGACCTCATTTTAACTAATTGTATCCGCAATGATCCTATTTCCAAATACAGTCACATTCTGAGGTTAGAGAGTCAACACACAAACTTAGGGGGACAAATTTCAACCCATAACAGTCCATACTCTGGCCCCCCAAATTCATGTCCTTTGCACATGCAAAATACATTCACCCTATCCAACAGCCCCATAGTCTTAACCTATTCCAGCATCAACTTTAAATTCTAAATCTCATCTAAATCAGATCTTGGGGTAACCCGGAGTATGATTCACCCTGGAGCAAAATTCCTCTCCATCTGTGAGCCTGTGCAAACAGGCAAGTTACCTGCTCCCCACATAAATGGTGCGGCAGTCATAAGAAGGACGTTCCTATTTTCCAAAAGGAAGAAATCAGAAAAAAGTAGGGTCATAGGTCCCAAGCAAGTTTGAAACTTAGCAGAGTACATTCTATTACATTTTAAGGCTTGAGAATAATCCTCTTTAGCTCCATGCTCTGTCTTCTGCACCCATCCACACTGTGAAAGGTAATCTGCTTCACTCACAGCCTGCTGATCTAAATGCTGATAACATCTAAAAAAATATCTTCACAGCAACATCTAGACTGGTGTTTGACCAAACAAGTGGGCACCATAGCCTAGCCAAGTTGAAACATAAAATCAACCATCACATTTACTCACCTGAAGATTGGATAAAGAGTAGTTTTAATCTGTCACAGTGGTTTTCTGAGGAATAGACAGAAAGGACTTTGTGTTTTTAGCAATCAAGAAGCAAAGGAATTGGCCCTGGCATAGAGGGTGGAAAATAGGAGTGCCTAGAAAGTCAGGGCTGAGTGGCACAAGGAGGAACCCTAAAAGAGCTGGCTGACCTGGGGCTGGGTACACTAGAGGGTGAGATGGGCCAAATGATTCTACCCCACCCCACAAATTCATGCATTGAAGCCCTAACCCCCAATGTGGTGGTTAGGGAGGTAGCTTAGAAGAGGTCATAAGGGTGGAGCCCCCATGATGGGGTTAGTGTCCTAGTAAGAAGAAGAAGAGACACCAGAGCTCTCTCTGTGCTGTGAGTGAGAAAGCAGCCTAGAACTGAATCTCTCCAAGAGCTGAATCTGCTGGCACCTTGGCCTTGGACTTCCAGCTTCCAAAACTGTGAGGAGTAAAAATCTGTTGTTTAAAAGACCCCAGTCTGTGGTATTTTGTTATAGCAGCCTGAGCTGACTGAGACACAGAGGAAGCCCCTCGTGACTCCCTGAACATGCCTCACCAAAGCACCATTGTATTGTACTCTACCTGCCTGCCTCTCTGTGTCCCCACAAGATTTAAAGTCCCACAGACTGGTCTTTTGAGAGGATGTCTCGTCAGCAACCAGCCAGAGGACCTGGTTCCCAGCTGGTGCTCAAGAAACAGTTGTTGAAGGAAAACATCACTGGACTGCACACAACTTCCTAAGACTCAGTGGTGACAACACAATTTTAGAGTTAAGAGAGATACAATTTAGTTTGTGGGGTGTATAGTGAACCTACCTGGAAGCTCTATCTGCCAAGCAAACATTCTGCTCTTACCTAGATTGTGTGGTTGTTTGCGTCGGCTTGGGGAAGGCTGATAGCTGAGGAGGAGATGCTAACCCCCACCCACAGTCACCCGTTTGTGGCTACAAAACCCTGCTGGTTGCTTGAGCCTGCGTTCAGACAAAGTGCATTTAAGGAGACTGGCCTGCAAGTGCCTTTCGGTTCTTAGTCTGTAACCGCAGATCTTAATCTCTACGCAAAGTTGAGATTCGTCTCTAGAAATGCTTTATTCTAAAGGGCATGGAGAGAGAAGGAAGGAAGGAACACATTTTGAGGAGGAGAGAGAAGGTATGCAAACGTTCATGCTCCTAAAGAGAAAGGCTTTCTGTTGGGTGAGGACAGCAGCAAGTCACCCATTTCCATCCATCTGTCTGTCTGTCATTCTGGCTGTCAGTCTGTCTCAGGCCCATCTTGTTCTGGGCAGGAGGAGGGGGGTAGAAGTGGGCAGCTGGGTTTATGATGATATTTCCATGTCAACCTGTTCAGCACCCACACACTACAGAAAACATATGACATGTGACACTTTATTCCCTTGTATTGCTAACTTGCAATCTACGTTGCTCTGGGGCCTCCTGCCTTTGAATGAGATTTGGGAGAGAACCAGACAGCAATCTGTGCTTCAAGCTTCCCATTGACAATGAGGCAGCTAGCTCCTAACTGGGATTACTGATTTCCATTTCAAAACTGCGTTCAATTTAGTTGATTTAAATGACTTGACTTTCCTCTGTGAAATGGCTGTGGCATGTGAGCTCAGCCAGTTGCTCTTTGAAAGGCATAAACACGCTCCCTGCGGGGACCAATGGAGCTCTGCCACCCATTGTTTATCTAAAAACAGCGTTTTATTATTGTCGCTCAATTAGTCCAGACAGCGGACACAAATGACTTTCAACAGCAACATCCTAACACTGTGTGTCACACATAAAATGCTGAATACTGCCCTAATAGCTAGCTAATAAAATCAAAATGTGCCTGTATTGACTCTAGGATTATTCAAATCGTCACCCTTTCTTCTGAAATCTCTTCTTAATCTAATTACATACAATATTTTTATTTTAGTAAAAGAACATTAACCTCAGTAATCAACAATTCTGTTCTCAATTTATTAATGAGCAAGCAACCACGGTTCTTCTGAATGTAAACTTTGGAGCAGAGTTTATTTTCTATAAACAAACTAGCATATTTTTCCCCTCAAGGTCAAAATATTATTGCCTGTAGGGTTTTTTTCCTACACGCTTTTTTTTCTTCTAAAAATTGCACAATCTGTCATTTCACAGACACCTACCAAAAGCCACTCCTAATCACTTGCAGGAGATAAGTTTCTGCCTGTTTATACTAACTGCTGTGAAAATGCTATTATACGCAAATGTTTCATCTGTTTTGCAAACATATGCTTTCACACACACATACTCACCGCAGAGGCAGTTGCCTGAAATAGGAAAGGTCCTCTAAAAAAGACAGAAATGAAATGCATAGAGCCACTCAACATTTTCCGTTTTTCAAATCCATCTTAGAATTATGGGTGACTGATGTTTAGAAATCACGCACTCCATTGACCGCACTAGAACCGCACTCCGAGTGGAAAGATGCCTGCCATCTGATTCATACCACTCATTTACAGTTGAAGAGGCTGAGGGCCAGAGAAGTAGAGATAAGGAAGGTTAGCAACCATGTTAACGGCAAATGAATGGCTGTGACCCAGGCGTTCCAGTTGCACACCCGGACTGGTGTGTAATTGAAACACAAAATCCGAGCCCTTGGGTAGTAATGATCCCTCCCCTTTAGTGGGGGGGCCATGAGAGCCTGGATGCTCTGAATGCTGTGGTTGTTTAGGTTTAGGTTAAGATTTAGTTGTTTAGCTGTATGGCAGCTGCTCCCCCTCCCCGACAGCCCCCGTTCTTTCACCCTTATCCCCCCAAAACACACACAGGCACACTTTGGTAATATAACATTTCTAAAGTTTTCATTTGAGTTTAATTTGTATTTGGAATACATCCAGACCAAACAGAAAGAAAATCTCAAAGCCGGCCTCTCTTCCATTACAGCCCCTGCCAAGCTCCTCTGGTTGCAGTCATACATGGGGAACCAACATTACCTCACGCCTCAAAACTCCATCTCTGGGCAGGCCTGGTCTCACCACCTCTCTGCTCTCTCCTCGGGGTGACAAGGAGGGGGGTGATGTTGGCACTGTGAGAGGAATTCCTCTTTTTACCCCCAAGCAGAGAAATTCCATTGTTGGGGGCTGAAGGCCAAAGTAGAAGAACTTCCCAAACAGCTCTAAGGGCAGAGGTAGGAGTCTGTGAATGGACTGGGAAATGGGAGCTAAGAGCTCTGCCTTCCTGCACATGCTTCTTGCTTGTTTCGCTGGCCTGAGCTTACACCACTTCATCGGAACTGGAAGCATTAGTTTATCACCAAAGCAGCGCCTAAGAGTCCAGTGACCTTAATTGTGGTGCTGGAAAAAAAAAAAATGCCTCTGCCACTTGACTAGCTCTAAGCCATTTGCCTCTGAGCACATGTCTTAGCTCTTCTCTATCTCTGTTTCTTTATCCCACAATTTTTTCTAATTATTCCTAGCCTTGCCTCCTGGGGATGTGGGCCACACCCTGACAAGCACATAAGGTCCTTGCAATACAGTTCTTCATTTGACGCAATCTTTTCCTTTCATGGAAGGATAATAAGTGCCAAGAAGAGGTAAGAGGTGCCTAATATCTGATAAGTAAGTTAGAAAAAGACTACCTTGGTAGGAACACAGTGTTATTTTGTTAGATATAAGCTAACAGGGATCATCTGCCGTGTGTACACCTTTAAAAGAAATACATTTTTTATAGTGTCAAATTCTTTCAGATGGTGTCAGTTGGTCAGTTCCTCTTCCATCTCAGCCTGCCCTCACAGGGTGAAATACCATCCCCATCTGGAAGCAGCCAGCCAGCTAGCTGCCTGGCTGAGTGACGGGTTTTCTTTGTTTCCGCTGGCTAACGTTTCAACGGTATGGTGCTCTGGCTTATAAAACTTTCCTCAGGAAGCCACACCAATGACCCTCAAAAGGTGTGGGTCCTTTGGGAGTTATTCACCCTGAGTTTTTAACCTCTCAGCCCTCCCTTAGGTTCTGGCCTCTCTTGCCTTCTGAAACCACAAAGCAGTTAGAGATTGCAATCTCTCAACACAAACTCACTTTGGCACCCACAATAAGATGTCAGCTGGGGTCACAATTGACTGTCTGTGGTGGAAAGTTCCAAGCAGTTGCAGTTGCTTTTGTGATCTGCCAGTTGACTGGGACAGAGAACCTTGAAACCCAACAGGAAGGTGGTTTTCTGAGGCATGTTAAAAATATATTTACGTTTGTTTATATACGAATGATTATTTTTAGTCTGAGGAAGAGGTTTGACAAGGATCTAGAGACTCCATGGTGGCAGGGCACAACTAGCAGGATTTATACCTTCGGAAAACCAGTAGATTTAGCACGTCTGCTTCCTGGCTTTTGCCTCATTTCCCTTAATCCTTACAATCTCCTAATGCTGCACAAAACCGATCCCAGATCTAACTTGCCAGCTAATGTCCCTGTTCCTCTCCAGACTGGCAGGCCACCATTAGACAGGCCACACTTGAGAGCTCAACGGCTGAGCTGCAGGCTTCCAGAAGCTCTTTCTTGCTGTTAGGTGACAGGACCGGGTCTTCAGAAGTCTCACCTGCAGTGCTGTGCTCAGGTGCTAACAACTAACAACTGTGAGTGTAGGTCACACCTTTGGGCCATGTGAACAGGCTGGCTAGACGTCTATAGTCCAAATGGCTCCTACTTGGCTGTAAGAACTCCAGACTGCAGGATGGCCTGGAAGTTTAGAAAGATGCACTCATTCCTGGGCATCTGGCTTTATGCATTCTTCCCCCACCCCACCCCACCCCGGAAATAGAGGAGAAAGCAGAGATGTGGACTGCTGTCCTCCGCTAGTTCAGAATCCACCCCCGATCCTACTGCATATAGTCAAGCAGGGCATGTGTGATCCAAAACAAGTTAAGGTGAGACGAAGGGCACAGCCTCAGAGGACCACTGGTTGATAGTAACTCTGGGATCAATGGCAGGGTCTGGGGCACTCACAGCAGCCACCTCTATCCTTCTGTACCTGTGCCCCCATACACTGCTACAGCAGTTTCTTTTACAGGTAATCATACTTTGTGTACCTACAACTGACCTCAAGTGATAACCTGCCAGCCAGGGGTTATTGGGTCCAGACAAGGTATGGCCAATGAAGTCAGTGCTCTGCCCACACCCCTTGGGAACCTTTATCATTTTCATGCACACCAGCTCCAAGTGTGCCCAGCAGCACCTGTATCTCTTAGTCAGAGGGTTATCTTTGGGGGTCTGAATGACTTTTCTTGCTTACAGAAAACAATAATGGGAATGTGCATCCTCCCTGGGATGACAGCCCTTAACCAACGATTGACAGGTGGGAGGAGGATATATAAAATCAGGACCACAGTGAGGGTCACAGGAAGCTCTGGAGTATTTAAGTCACACCTCCCTCCCTCCCTGGGGCTTTACATGATACTGTACCCTTACCTGACAGCCTTCCTTTCAGTGACCAACTTAAATGAATCATTCAGGGTCTGCTTCTGGAGAATCTAACCTGAGACACAAGACAAGGCACAAGAGGAAATGTTTGCTCTGAGATCCAGAATCAACCCTCAGCTCAGATGGCTTTTCATCTCTCTAAGGTTCAGGTCATCTCATAAAGATTTTTTTTAAATTGGGGAACAGTGTGTTTTTCCAAGACCCATCAGCTCCAAGTAGTTGTTTCAATCTATTGTTTCAATAGTTGTGGAGGGTGCAGCTCAGTGGCTCATGTGGGGGTCAAACCTACAACCTTGGTGTTATGAGCACTATGCTCCAACCACCTGAGTTAACTAGTTGCCCCTCATAAAGATTCCTAGTGTGAAAGAATCTATCATCCTGTTGCACAAGCATAACAGACAACTATTTTCCCACTCCACAGAGTTTCCTGTGATCTCGAAATTCCAAGTCAGCACCAAGGCCCTGAGGGAAATCCTGCTTCCTTAGTCTTAATTCAGAGTGCCTAGGCCATGGCCAAAGCTTCCAACCATGCAGTTCTCCCCTCCCTCTAGCCCAACAAAAATCAAAGTTAACAGGGACCTTATATGGCACTTACCAACCTTGGAAAACTTTTCAAAAGTAGCTTTAGTTCCTTTCTTATTGTCTCCCCAGAGTCTGATATTTTTTTGGAAGGAGGACTGTAGATTCATTCACCTTTGGGAAATCTAGCAAAAAATCAATCTTGTAGTTCAAGAAAACTGTGTAGAAACCCCATAAGCTCCCCTACTAGTAGCTGTCAACTCTCGCCTCCCTCCCAGCCCTTTGAGCCATTGAATTGACTCCTACTGCTTGGCAGAGCAGGCAGCAGTGAACATGGTGCAATGAGGGAAGCAAATGGTGCAGAAGGAGAGAACTACCGTTCCACAAGCTTGTCCTTCCTCCTTTTACGTAAACTCCAAGAGCATTTAGTACAGAAGAAACATCAACATTTGTTTCAACATGACATGCATCCCAGGAAACTTCCCACAGATCACTAAGCAGAGTTTGGGCTTGTTGTAATCACTGTTGCTCTTAGCCCATCCCTAGAATAATTCTGAAGATACACACTTGGCTCGGAAGCCTACAGGCAAATATTCAAAAGTCCTGTGGGTTATTCCATCTTGCTACACATCACTTACATTGAGCTGGAGGGTGGAGTTGGGGTAGAAGAAACAGGAAGAGAGGTGTCAAGAAAGCTCTCCAAGCCCCAGTTTTGTACTTAGCTTCACCTGTCAAAACCCAATGGCCTTGTCATGGTGGACTTGAACTTAGATAGTCATGAAATTTTTATTCCTAGGGAGGATGCTTTCTAGGTTTGTCATGGAAAGGAGGAGCTACATGGAAAGGAGAGAGGTAGAGTGAGGGAGGGAAAGAAAGAAGGCTGCAACAAAGTTTGCCTTGTGTTTCCACTAAGTTAAAGTTGTGTCAGGTATGTCCTTCACAGCCCGGCCGTTCCTCTCAACCCACAGACCTGAGGGCACCCAGGGCAGCATGTCCACCCTCAGCAGAGGTATTTGGGTTGCTATAGGGATCATCTTAGATTCCAATGCAGCAAAACTCTTGAGGACTCTGCCAACCCAGGTATGGTGAGCAATGAACTCTGTGCTTTTTCTTCTCTTTTCTCCTTCCATGCTTGAAAATCAGAGTGAGTGAATTCTGTGCTTGCAATGGTGTTTTAATTAATTTTTGATTAAAAAAAGGAAGGGAGTTAAAATTAAAGCCTGCTATAAAAAAGCAAACCAGTTTCTGGAAGGTCATGAGCTGCTGCTGGCAAGTGTGTCCAGGAGTTAGGAACAATGTGCTTGCTGTTTCTAGAGCAAATCAGCAAACCAAATTCAGGCTGGAGAAGGCTCCCTTGGCATAACTCAGGGTTGGTTTGGTTCTGGACTCACACAAGCCTCTCTGAAAGCTGATTGAGGAGGCGGGGCTGTATGAGCAATGACCCATCAATCGTTCAAAGCTGGTTCTTCAGGCTTTATGCCACAGCGCTTCCATGTGACCTGGGGTGAGTGGGTGAGCGGGGAAGCAGCTGACTTCCCCCTTGTTTCCCTATTACCTAGCACAGTGCTTGGCACGCCACAGGTACTCAACATGTGATTGTTAATGACATGGGAGCTTACCAAAGCAGTCATATTCTCCGGCCGGCCGAGTGGCGCAATGGTTAAGAAATGGCTTGGGATGCCAGAGGGCCCCGGTTCGGATCCCACATATGAGGGCCAGTGACACTGCCCTCCACAGCTAAGATGCTGAACAACAGCTTGACCTGGTGCTGGGCTGCTGTGAGTCACCGGCGACGGCGTAGGCTGCAGCCCCTGCGGCAGTGGGTTGCCATGGACTACAGTGTGTAGCCAGCAGCCAGCGTGAGCGGCCAGCAGCCGCAGTGAGCGGCCGTCCAGAAGCCGGCGACTGATCTGCCTCACCCGGGAAGAGTGCAATGATGGTGCCAACTTGGGCCAGTGAAACAACGTCCTCCACAACTAGACTAAAGAACAAAACGACAGCAACTTGGCTGTTCCCCTTACCCCAATTCCCCAGCACTGTTTCCATCCCCCCAATTCCCCAATAAAAATCTTAAAAAAAAAAATAATGGCTGGAAAAAAAAAAAGCAGTCCTATTCTCTGTAACTTTTCTATAACTAAGGAGGTGAAAACAGGATATAGGGGGAGCTGCTAAAAGGAGGAAAACATAGAGACATCTCTTTTATTTCTCTCTTTCTAACTGTAAAAATTAGATGTATCATTAAGATTTATGAGAAAGAGGATGAAAGAAGAGTTTCTTAACCAAGTAATCCATGCTTTATTGCTTCCACTTTCGGGGTAAGAAACCAGTTTGGTGTTGTGGATAAGAACATGGACTCTGCAGCCAGGCTGTTTGGGTCAGTGTCCTTGCTCTGCCGTTTTGTAGCTGTCTGACCTTGGGCAAGTTACTTAACCTCTCTGTGCTCTGGCTCCTCATTTATAAAGTGGTAATAGTAACAAGACCTATCTCATAGGATTGTTGTGAAAAACAAATCAGTCAACATATATATGACACATACAACAATGCTTGGTACATAGTAAGTACTATTTAAGAGTTACTGTTATTAATTATTATTATTATTGCTCTGGGTCAGTCACTGTACTAGAGTTTTACATTGATTGTCTTATGTTTCACATACATACAACAAAAAAACAAAATAGTGTTTATTTTATAATTATGGATATCGAATCTAAGTGAAATTAACTAATTTATCCATCGTTAAGCATCTAGTGATTGTTGGACATCGTATTTGAGCTGAGATCTGTCTGACACCAAAACCTGTGCTTTTGCTATTAAGCTACACTGAAGGGGACGTGCTTGAAGCTGTGCCTGCTTGCCATCCTGTCGGCATTCTCTCAATCACCAAAGCTTATGAAAACATGGCACTGAGGTTAGCTTCCACTGGACACCAACAGAAGAGCAATTGTACCTCCATCAAAAAAACTTCTCAGCACCAATAATGGTTCTAGCTACTGAGGAATACTTGCAGGAAATGAATTTAGAAGGTTTCAATTAGAGGCCCCCAAAGATTTTAAGGATTAGAAGGGAAAAATATGAAGGAGATGGAAGAATTATTTTTCTACTCTGATTGAGGAGATAAAAATTCCCTTTATTTTATGAAGATTAAAGTTCCAGGATTCAGGAATAGAGTTCTCAGCTACTGCATTTTAAAAAAACAATAGAGCCCTGAAAACCTTGAATCAATCCATCCTGTCTCTAGGGAAACCTAAGTCTAAGCCAGCTGGTACACAGAGCCAATTGTCCTGTGAGTAAAACCACTTCCTATGAGACTTAACCATGGCTAGTGACTAGAAAGAGGGAGACTAATGTGGGACAGTTGTAGAAGAATAGAATTGCGATCCAGTTCTTCTAACTTCATGACCTCATTCTCTTGACCCAATAATCCTGAGATGAATCCCTCTGAGATGAATCTATCTAGAAATGACTCCTTCTGTGTAGTAGTCAATAGACCACATGACCTTTTAAGTTTAATATATTGGAGGTATCTGGGTCTTTGACTTTGTGAGCATTTCCAAGTCATGTTTCTTTGTTCAGCTGCTTTTCAATTTTACCTAAGCATCTATACAGCTACTGTGTCTTGCCCTACTCTGGGGGTTGAAACACATAGTTAGAAAAGGAGTGGTAGATTGTTGTTGTTGTTTTCCTCCAATAGATTTTTAAAACCTTTTGAATAAAGTATTTTATGCACACAAAAAAATACTCAGGTCACAGGTGTATAGGACAATGAGCTTTCACAAAATGACCATACCTGTGTAAGTACCAACCAGATAAAAAAATAGAACATTATGAGCACCCAAAATATCCCCTGCAGGTTTCCTCCCTTCAATTATCGCCCCCTCACTTCTCTCCAAATGTAAACGCTAACCTGAATTTTAACACCATAAATTAGCTTTATTTGTGTTTGGGCCACATATAAATAGAATTATACATTATATATTATTTCACATTTGGCTACTTTTACTTAACATTATATTTGAAAGTTTTCCATATACTTATGTGTGATAGGAGATCATTTATTTTCATTGCTATATAGTATTCCATTATATAAATATACCATAATATATTTATCTATCCTACTGCCTATTTAATGGACGTTTAGGTTGTTTACAATTTGTGGTTATAATGAATAATTCTGCCATGAACATTCTTGTACATGTTTTTTGTCACACATTTCTGGGGGGGGTATATGACAAGAAGTGGAATTGCTGAGTCAGAGACTATGCAAACATTCGATGTAGAGAAACTTGCCAAAGAGTTTTCCGAAATGAGTGTGCCAATTTACAATTCCACCAACAGTGCGTATACTCAAAATTCTTGCTAACATTTGATATTGTCAGTCTTTTAAATTATGATCATTCTGGTAGGTAGGTGGTGGTATCTCATTGCGGTTTTAATTTTCATTCCCCTAATGACTAATGAGGGTGAGTACCTTTTAAAATGTTTATTGTGAATCTGGCTACTTTTTTTTGTGAATTGCCCAATTATATAATCTGGTTATTGGTCTTTTCCTTATTGTTGGTAGTTCTTATATATTCTGGATATGAGTTATATGTATTGCAAATAACTTCTCCTAATCTATAGATTGCTTCTTCACTTTTTTAATGGTATTTTTTGATGGAAAGAAGGTCTCAAATTTAAAGGAATATAATGTATCTTTCCCTTTATGATTAGTACTTTTTGTGCTTATATAAGAAGCCCTTTTTTTTCCTACCCCAAGATCATAAAGATATTCTCCAATATTATCTTCTAAGACAAGGGTTGGTAAACTATGGACTGTGGCCCAATCTGTTCCTCTACCTATTTTTATAAATAAAGTTTTATTGGAACACAGTCACTCTCATTCATTTACATATTTTCTATGACTGCTTGCTCTGCAATGGCCGAAAGTATGGGCCCTCGAAGCCCAAAATGTTTACTATCTAGCTCTTCACAGAAAAATTTGCCAAACTCTGTTCTAGAAGCTTTATTATTTTTCCTTTCACATTTGATATTGACATTTGTAAATGGTATGTAGTAAAGATCAAGATTAGTTTTTTCTATATGTATATTCAATTAAGCTAGTACCATTTATTGAAAAGATTGTCCTTTCCCCGGGGCTCTGTAGTGTCATATATCAAGTATATGTATATGCATGGATCTGTGTTTTGGGTTTTTTTTTAGTTTGGTCCCATTGGCCCATTTTTCTGGCCATGACCAATGCCTCTCTGTTTAAATTGATGCATTTTTATAGCAAGTCATATTATCCCACTTTATTTTTCTTCAAGATTGTCTCTATTACTCTTGAAACTTTGCATCTCCATATAAATTTTACAATCAACTTGATAATTTATTCAGAACACATTCCCTGACTTAGATTCGTATTGTATTTACTCTATAGATCAATTTGCAGAGATTTTACTTATTTACAATACTAAGCCTTCCAATTCATGAACATGATGTATTTTTAAATTTATTTAGGTCTTCTTTAATTTCTTTAAATATTTAGATTTTCTGACTCGATGGCTTGTATATATTTGATGTTTATTTTTAGGTATTTTTGATGCTTTTATAATTTTATGTCAACACTAGCTTTTGTGTTAAAAAAAAGAAAAGCAATCAACTACCTACTAGTCACCTGCCAAATACCATGCCCTAATGAATATATTGTGGGAACCAAAAATGATAGTCCATGTCCCAAGGAATAAAAAGATTTGGATGGGAAAGGGAAATGCAAGGCTGATCAAAACAAACAAACCAAAAACAAACAAAAAAACACATAGCATGCGTATAAATATTTTCTTAAATATCTCTTCCATGGGTTTTGTTGGTATTGACTCACATGCCCCTATGCTCTTAAGACTGCATGACAGCATGAAAACAACACTAGTGGAGAGTCAGGACTCCTAAATCCTAAGTCTGGTTCTTCACAAATTAGTTGTGAAACTTCAGGTAAGGCTCTACATAACCTCATTGTACCTCAGTTTCTGCACCTCTAAAAGGTAAGTTGGCTTTAACAGTCTTTGACTTATATGTGAGGAAGGGGAGGCCTTAGGTTACTGGTGAGTACAGACACAGTCACGGATGTTCTGGGTATGACCCGAGGGGTCTCACTATCAAGAGATTTTTTTGAAGGAAACTTATGGCCCCCCTGGTTTGTGAATACTTGGAATGCCATTGATAGAGGTGACACTTTTTTAAAGAAATATCTCTGAGAGAGAAGATACCTGAAGTAAAAACAAGCAGAGGTGTGATAAATGCAGGGAAAAAAATCACAGGGCCTGGGCACTGGTGCCTGAGGTACCAGTGGATTGCAAACAGAGATGGAGAAGAATCAGGGAGTGGAAAGCCTAGAGGCAAATGTGTAATGAAGCTGGAAGAGCCTGTGTGGGAACTTCCGTTTTGGGTTTCACAGAAGAGGTATATTAGGGTTTCTTTAAAAATCTTTAGAGAAAAAGTTACACTCCAAGGAAGTGCTGCTGTTTTTCTTAGAGTCTAAGAGTGACAAAGATAAGTGGGCAGAGCAGCAATGGCTGCTTGTCAAAATTCCTGCTCCTCCTTACCTAGTAAACTGTTCTGCTGGGAAAGAGTGATCCCATCAGAGGCTTTATTTCTAGCACCCTCTTGCATCTGGGTTGGGCCAACAGAATATGTATAGAATTAGTATTTGTCACTCTGAGCCAAGGCAATTAAGAAGGTGTAGCTTCTCCATCCTCAGTTTCTCTTTCCATGACTAGATATTAAAGACTTTCAGTTCCTGTGAGATAGCAAAGCCATGAGGTGTAAGGCACCTTAGTCCTTGAGTTATCTTACTGAGGAAAATGTGTGCCCATTAGATGTACCTGCATTGGACTGTCCTGTGGATGAGAAATAAACTTCTGTTGTGTTAAGTCACTAAAGTTTAGGTTTATTTGTTACAGCAGCTAGTGAGTGTTGCCCTAACTAATGCAGTTGGTCTCTGAAATAATTCACAGTATTGACAGAAATAAAAACACAATGTTAAGATATTACTGCCATTTCATTTGAGAAAGATAAAAAGAGGAGGATAACTCAAAAAATTTCCACAAACTTTCTGAAGTCATTAGAGAATATTCACAACTAGTATAAAAATAGGACAATAATAATTCAATACATAATATCTGTGCCTAATAGATTTGCACTCCCCAAATTTGCATTTTAATTTCCTTGAATTGGCTCCTGACACATTCTTATGTGGGATTCAACATTTTGCAACAAATAAGACTTCTCTCTTGGCACTTCTTACTCCTTCATTTCCCCCCACACATCCATATTCCTGCTGCCTTCTCCATCCCACAATGCTCATTTTTGGCAAAATGGTTTTCATAAACCACACATTTTAATGAATTAAGTGTAGTCCCACAGTCACACTTGCATTCTCCCACAGTTCCCTGATTTCCACACTCCTCCAGCTATGGGAATTCTCCCTTACACCTCCAGAAAAGAAAAAAAAATGCATGAAAAATTCTGCCTATAAGTAGCAAAGATATGCACAGAATGTGACTGCTCTTCCACTTTTCTTTTACTTTTTTTGAAAATGTAAGAAGGAAGATGATTTTCAAACATTGCATGTTCTCTGAGAAACTAAAACAAATCAGTGCTGTTTTTTTTCTTTTGGCAGTAGCAAAACTGGTTATGGGCACAAATCTGTATAGCTCACCTTTTATCCTTCTTAGTGGGACCTCCGTGGACTGGCTTCTACCCTGCCAAAGAAGAAAATCAAGGTGTTTGACGGCAGGCAAATGTAAGAGAATTTCAGAGAACAAAAAAACACTCTAAGTCACAGTTACCAACCTTCTCATTTTACCACGGAGGCCCATATAGGTGGTTTAACTTGCCCAAGTCATACAACTACCCAACAGCTCCTGGGAAATCAAGCTGTATCCAACCTTTACAGTTCATGTCACAAGGACCTTCAAGCACATGATCTTCCCGGATCATCCCATCAGCCATTTGACAGTGATAGAATCACACGTTAGAGATGTGAGGGGACATAGGGGTACTAAGAAGAATGCCAGGTCGTAAGATCTAGCTCCTCACCACTAAATCCATGTCCTCAAGGCCACCTGGTATTTTCTTCTTTCTCTGGGGTGGCACCAACTATGCATCAGACCTCTTCTCTCAAAGAGCACACACTCCCCTGAGGGCAGATAAATAAACAGATGATTCTAATCCAGTATGATAAATGCTCCCATCTTTTGCTCTTGGCATATAATCACTTCCAAAGCAATGGCTGCTTCTCCCAAGAAGAAAACAGCAGCAGCAGGAGCAGCAGCAATAGCCAATCACTGAATCATCAAGTGAGGAGGCACCACCAGCTTTGCCTCCCGACTAAGGAACATCTTACCAATCACCCTTCCACCCACCATTACCACCTGTAGGTTTGGAACCAAGAAAGGTTTTGGAAACTAAAGATAATGTGCTAATAGGATGTTAAAGCGAAACCACCCTCACCACCCACCACCAGAGGTAGTTAGTGTAAATGCCGTATTCCTGAGCCCCACGCTTCATTTCATGACTCCAGCTCCTGGCACTTTGCTAGGTTTGAAAGTATTGCTTATGCAGAGAGCTCAGAGATTGCTTTTAGCGAAGGACTCCAAGTAGACAGATCAAAGCCTTCTCATTGTCTCCTTCTTATTGCCAAAATATAAGACTTGGTTTTATGGGAAACTCATGAATTCTCCTTCCATGAGATTGCAGTTAAAATTAAGTAGTAAAGGAAGACTGGGAATCAGGAGAACTAGGATTTGGCCCTGAATTTACTACTTAGTAATTGCAACCCTGAACAAGTCCATTTACCTCTGGCCTTTCATTTTTTCATCTTTTTAAAATTTTTTGTCCAAAGTAATTTAATTTAATTTATTTTTTTTTTGTTTTTCATCTTTGAAATAAGAAGAGCGGACTAAGTTATCTCTAAGGTTTGTAATGATTCTGGCTCTGTATACATTCAAAATTTTGTTACTTCATTTTAGATCATATTTAATGAGTACGTAGTACATGCCATTCACTATGGTAAGCACTGGGGTAGAGATGAAAGTTCCAGCCCCCTTCCAAGTAGCCAACAGACTCACTAGAGAGTCAAGCAGTTAAACAATGAGAGTTCAGTGGGAGGTGTAGGATCACAGAGGTGTGTGTGAGAGGCTGTGGAGCACAGAAGAAGGGCGCTGTGTCCCCCTGATCCACTCCACTGAAGAGGATCAGAACATCTCACCCCAAAATATGTCACTTTGGCATATCGATTGTTTTGGACTGAAAGCACTTGAGAAGCAGCAACTGCAAGGAGGGCTTTCCTATCTTCCACTTTCTACCTTAAAAGTAGGACACACTTTTCTCATGAGAAAGGTGCCCCCCATATACCAGGAAGAGGTAAATACTCTTATCGCCCAAAATGGGGAGTTGACACCAATGAATCTGTACAAACAAATCTACTAAAATAACCCTTTCCTTCCATTGGTTTCCCCCATGTATTTCCTAGTCACTTTCTCATAATTTACTGCCCCACCCCAGGACCCTTTTTTCTTTTCTTTTTTTTTTAAAGATTTTTATTAGGGAATTAGGGGAAGGGGAACAGACAAGTTGCTGTCCTTTTTTTCTTCAGTCTAGTTGTGGAAGACGTTGCTTCACTGGCCCAAGTTGGCAGCATCATTGCGCTCTTCCCAGGCGAGGCAGATCAGTTGCCGGCTCCTGGGCGGCCACTCACAGCAGCTGCTGGCCGCTCATGCTGGCTGCTGGCTACACATGGTAACCCATGGCAACCCACTGCAGCAGGGGCTGCAGCCTACGCTGTCGCCGGAGACTCATGGCAACCCAGCTCCAGGTTGAGCTGTTGTTCAGCATCTTAGCTGTAGAGGGCAGTGTCACTGGCCCTCATATGTGGGATCTGAACTGGGGCCCTCTGGCGTCCCAAGCCAGCTTTTAACCAACGCACCACTCGGCCGGCCCGCCCCTTTTTTCTTGTATTGTCACATCTCCACAATTTATTGTTCTTTGTAGAAATGGTATGTAAACTCTCAGGTCTAGCCACTTCCTTGGTCTTCATTTCTTTTTCATGAGGACTCCTGTGTCATGAAAAAGTATTAACATCAAATAAAAATTATATGCTTTTCTCCTGTTAATCTGTCTTTTGTCAGTATAATGCTCAGGCCTAGCCACAGAACTTAAGAGGGAAGAGAACAAAATCTTTCCTTCTTTCTACTACCATTTGCTCTTCCCTGGGAGGCTGGTCTACATGGGCCAAGACAATAAGGCTCCTCAGCCCTCTGGCTTCTTGTTAGCTTTCATCAATAAGGACCATTTCGGGAGACCAAAGGGAGATACAATGCAGCTCAAGGTATTTATTTCCCTCACTGGGAGGATAACTCAGTCAAAAGCCATTACTCATCCTCAGCTGACCTGCTCTCTCCCTCATCTTCTCCCTTCTGATCCAGGTTTGGTGGCAGCTTTGTGGCTGCTACTAGCCTAGTTTCTACATCAGTTCCTGTGGTTCCACTTAAATCCACCCACAATTTCATAAGTAGTCCCTTATAAATAAATTCTCCTCAAATTTAGACTGATCAGAGGATACCATCTCTTTCCTGTTGGGACCCTGGCTAATACAGGCATGAAACCCACTTTTGAGATGTATGTACATTGGAGGTAGTCAGGAGAATTGTGAGATAAAAAGAGGGAGGGGCGGGACAGGAGAACCAAAAAGTGTTCCAGAGAAAAGAAAGCTAAGTTTTGAAAGATGTCTTGCAACTAGCTAGCTAAAGAAATCATGAGAAGGAAGAGATAATGTAAGAAAGCAAAATGTGTGTGTTCAGAGATAGGAGCATATGCTGGGTGAGGTTCAATGTTCAAGATAGTTGGAGGGAAGAACTGGTGAGGAGAGGGGGTGGTAAACAATGAGGCTGGAGGGGGAGGGAAGGGCAAGATCATGAAGGATTCTGTATGTTGTTTGTGGAACCCGAGAAGAAAGAGCCATTTTTTTTTTTTTTTTTTTTTTTT